CGGGTGCTTAATGGTCCCCTTGAAATCTCAGCAGAGAGGCCAAGTTTTGAATGGATCGTGGTGACCGTTACCCACTCCTTGCAATAGATAAGGTGGGGGAAGCTTGTACTGCTACTGCCCAAAGTGCACCTGTTCCCGAAAATGGATGGTTGGGTAGATAATATTGCAAAACAAAAGTTGGCAATGTTCATTTGGCCAGTACGCTATTTCTGTAGGATTGAGTGACGCAGAGTTCTGTGCTAGCCAAATCTGAGAGCCAGAGGCTTTCAACCAGTGATGTGCATCCTTCCTCCTTCTCTTTCTATGCCTTATTTCTGGTATGAAATAAAAATTTTAAATTGAAGCATAGGGGGACAGCCCAGTGGTCCCAGCAGTAATTCTGAGTGTAGCAGAGACATCACTCCCAGCTCAAAACTTGTAACGGAGGCTGGAAGCAGAAGGCTGGTTACCAATTGTATAAGCAAATAGCTTTCCTCCCAATAGAGACTGCCAGACGTCCAGAGGACTACAGAGATCAAAAAAAGGAACACGCAAGGTAAGCAACACTTTCTTGTGGTAACAACTAGGAGAGCAGCTAGGCCTGCTCGGGTCCTGTAAACCGACATTTATTCCAGCTGCGTGCAGGCGTGCTCAGAGAGAGGCTCCTGTAGTAGAGACTAATGGAGATGGCACGGCCAGTAAATCTGTCAGACAGCAGTGGGTGTATTTCCGCATTAGACCATTGTCTCAGTGGGCCAGAGTCAAATTTGAGGTGGAAAATATCAACCACTGTTTTTTGCTTTCCTCTCTCTTCAGGTAGCCTTTCTGAAAAACTCATAAACCACTAGCAAACTCTTGGGCTGGTATCAGGTGTGATAGGCTCCCAGGCTATTTTACCTTGTGCTGTCTTCACTCTCCTATTTAGAACTCAGTCCAACATCGCTTTATAGTATTTATTGAAGAGACTCCTCTGGACACCTTGTGCTCACTGTCTTTCAGATGAGAGAGAAAACTGAGAGTCGGTCTGCCTGCTGATAAAGATCTCTAACTTGATTTATGCAGTGCCTATCACTGTGGTATCTGAGCAAAACTCTCCCCAAGAGATAGTATTAACCTAGCTGTCCTGGCTAAATTCCAATATAGGATGTGATTAATCATCTAATTTCCTTCCTATAGTTTCAGTTGGATGCAGTGTTCTTTGTTTCAGATCCTAAAATGTTGTGTAATGTTTCTGTGATCTGTTAAAACAGCTGCTTTGTTACACTTCAGAGGTGGCTGCATTTCAGTAGTGTATGAAAGTTTATTCCTTAATGTGTGCAGTTCGTGCAGAGATTTGATCCTTTTTTGATGAGAGGATGTATGTAAACGATGATATAGACAGGCCCACTTAAAAGATACTGTTCCTGACTGCAGGGAAGCCCCCAGGTTGTTTTATGGTTTGTGTGAAGCTCCATTTCTGACTTGAGAGATTCAGATTTGGTAGCTAAGTATGAGCATATCTACTGTCTGGAGTTCTCCTGTTTATAGCTGTGTTGGCCAGAGGCATAAAGAGGCATGATCCCTGACTGACATAACTGTGCAAGGAGAAGCCCATAGTGTAGATGGTTGTAATGGGAAAACTGCTTTTACTAGAATAACTTGTTTCGCTCATATGGGGGGAAAAGGGAGGATGGTTTTACTCTATTGGTACCAACCACAGCTTTGACAGTATAGCTGTGTCTACAATAGCAGCGTTTTGCCAGTATAGTGTACCGGTATTCCTACACTGGTCAAGAGCTTCTAGTATAGACACAGCCTATGTATTTCCTAGGGATTTAACCCAGTGCAGTTCTCAATGTGCTACGGTATTAGTGCTTTTCCCCTCTGCTCTCCAGTTTGTCCCTGTTCTGAAGCAGAAATCTCCATCCTGTTGTCAGTTCTGGAGGGGAATCAGCCTTGGTAGAGAGGGTGGTCTCTACACTGGGGTAGGTGGTAATTGGCATCCCTTTGGCACCATTTGATCTGACCATTAAGTGGTCAGGCTTGACAAAGCCCTGGCTGGGATGATTTAGTTGGGGATTGGTCCTGCTTTGAGCATGGGGTTGGACTATATGACCTCCTGAGGTCCGTTCCAACCCTGATATTCTATGATTCATTGAATCAGTGTCTAGTCTTCAGGAAGAACAAATTTAAGAGTATCCACCGAGGGATTTCCGGGTGGCCTGCAGAATGAAGTGTTTTCAGGAAGCAAGAAGAGGGTAAGGGTGGGATCCAAGAAGGGGATCTTTCTCTTTCAGAACAGTTGGCAAAAGGGCAGGGAAAATGGAGAACCACTGGGTAAAAAAACGTAATAAAGGAATGTGTAGAAGTTCCAGGCACATGACCTTGGAGGCAAGATACTTTGAGTAGAATGTCTTGGTCCACACTTAAATTTAAGGTTGACATACTTAGGGCACTCAGGAATGTGAAAAATCCGCAACCGTTCGTGCTGTAGCTGTGCAGACTTAATCCCCAGTGTGTAGGCACAAGCAGGCTGACAGAAGAATGCTTCTGTCAATGTAGTTACCATTGCTTGGGGACGTGGTGTTCGTAGGATGATGGAAAAAACCCTTCTGCTGCTGTAGGATGAGTCTAGACTACAGGATTATGTTGGTGTAGCTATGTTGGTGTCCCCATAGAGTAGATGCAGCCTAAAGAGGAGAATTTTTTTTAATGTATGGGACTATTTCCCAGTGAGGAAAATAGATAAAAGTGGGCATTTCTTGATGCCGTTGAAAGCAGAAACACATCTGCCCCAGATCAGATAAGCCTGGCAAGTGGAAAACACGAGTCCTCCCTACCCGATCTGCTTTATCGTATGCATGATACATCTCTACTCCCTACATGTGTAAGTCACCACACTGATGTGGACATCACATAGCTTGTCAGAGAACAGCAGTGACGACAAACCAGTCTGCTGGCATAGATCATTTTATTGACCAGATGCATTGACTCTCCCTCCCCCTTCACCCCAGTGAAAAATGTTAATCGTTTATCCAGTCTCTCATCAAAACACTGCACAAGCATCCAAATGCATCAGGAACTGGGAGAATTCCACAGCTCAAGAGCATACAAGGAAAACTGAATTATTTAGCATGTTGGGGGTTTTTTTTAGTGCAAGCAGGTGCATACTGTGAAACAGTTTTGGGTTTGGAATCCTCTGTGGAGAGGTTAGTGCCTTGTGGGATTTCAAAGAACAGGACAGGTTTTTCATCCCTGCCTTCTTGACTCCTCTTAGACAACCTTTTCTTTTGAATTCTCCTTCCCTATCTTACTCCCCACCATAGCTTCACACTCTTTGTATTTGCTTCTGATACTTCACCTGCTGAAACAACTCTTCTGAAGCTGTTGTAACGATCTGTTGAGCACTGACAGCATTCGTGATGCTTTGTACAAACATTAGAAGATGTGGTCCTTGTCCCAGGGGGCTTTGCGATCTAATGCAGACTCTGACAGTGCAGTTCAACTGTACACTCGATGCTAGTTCAACTAGAAATTGAGCAGATATCAAAAGGCTTGGCAGGAGAAGTGGTGGTCTTCCCTCTCCTCCCTTAAGGAAGGATTAGAAAAAAGAGGGAGGTCATCTAGTTTTGTGAAGGGAGGAAGCACTTCCAAAGACGAGATGGCTTGGAAGAAGTGTCTTTTATTAACTGAGTGCTGGTAGGGGAGGAGTCAGGGTGTGTGTGAACACCTAGTGACATTTTATACCTTGTGGGGGAGCATCTTGGAACCCCCATATTCCTTATTTGTATATAATTGTGATCTTACCTTACAAGGCATGCTTTATATGTATCAGGGGAAAGGTTATGACCTGCTGGAAGTCATTTCTCTATCCATATACGTGTATCATTAATGCATATGAAGTTGTGAGAATTGTGTAGTATGGTGGTCACTAAAACATGCTGTAAATTGTGGAATCAGCCAGACATTAGCTCCCCAGAGGCAACAGCAAGGAAAGTCACCAGCCCCTTGGCGGGGTGTCAAACAACCCATCAACAACCATTGTCCAGCAAGGGAGCTATAATGCAATGACTCACCTGCATGAGGCCACACCAGGGGAATTGCTGGACCTTGGGTGGAGAGACTCAGCAATGCCCCCAGACATGCCTGGACTTGTGTTTTCCAAGCACATGGACTGAGGGTATAAAACAGACCGTGGACACATACTGGGCCCTTCTCCTGCCCCCACCTATGCTGCACGCAACCAGGACACTGAGAAGAAGACAAGACTCCAACAGAGGAGATTGGCCCAGGTTTAAGGAGCAAATCTGTATATTAAGGACTGCAATATCCAGTGGAGTGAGAAAAACTGCTTCATCTAGTTACTGCCCAGTCTAATAGGGTTGAGAGTTTAGACTGCATTCTTATATTTTATTTTATTTTGGTACTACGACTTTTTGCCTATCACTTAAAATCTATCTTTTCTAGTCAATAAATTTGTTTAACTGTTTATCTTTACCAGTGAGTTGGTATGAAGTGTGGGGGCAAATCTGCTCAGGTGTGACACAGGCTGGTGTATGTCCACTTCCCATTGTTGAAGTGGTGAACCAATTAATAAATTAGACAGTATATTCCTGAGGTACAGTACTGGGAGCTGGAGGGGGATTTGGCTGGTGCCTTTTTCTGAGAGATTCATGAGTGGCTGTGGAAGCAGTCATGCAATCTAGCTGAGTGTGGGGCTCCAAATGCAGTTGTGCTGAGTGATCGCAGCACCTGGAGGGGTTTGCTGCTTGTCACTAGCAAGGCATTGTGAGGGACACCCCAGGCCAGAGAGTTAAGGGGGCACAGCGGTCCCACGGTCCCAGGCTGGACCGTGGTGGGATCCCGTCACACTCCTAACCTGCTTTAAGCAGTAACTGGAATACTGAAGGCAACACACTCTTCACCCCTTGTCGTGCCTATTTGTACTGGAGTACGGAGAGGAGCCCTAAAATCTGCGTGATGCAGATGCCAGTTAAACAGGATGCTGAGTGCAGCTCCACTGTGGACCCATTCTAATTGTCCAGGAGCCTTGAAGATCTGTTGGAGTTGGCTCTTGTCCAGTCCCATGGGCAGGTTTTAGCTCGTGTGTGACAGTTTTTTCTCACTTGATCTGCCCAACCCATGTCAGTTCCAAAGCTTTCATACAGTTTTGTTAAAGATAGTGTGTTACAATTTAAGGGCTGGCTGCTACCTCTGAAAGTGCTTAAATAGGGATATGTCTGTATGGAAAATCACAGTAGAGGTGATTTTTACACACACACACTCTTCAACTGTTAGTTTACAATGTAAGAAAACAAGAGAACCCCATGCTACAATCCTGCTAACACCATCTGCTCAAGCCGTTATTTCTAGCATTGTTTAAGTCACAGTGCAGCTGGGGATCTGAAGGAAGAGCCAGGGGGCACGTTTCTGAGCCTCTCCTCCCTCAACCTCCTTGGGCACAAGTCACCAGGAAGAGGAGACTCTGGTACCAGATGGGTGCTCTGTGAGGTCTGGGAATCCATCACAAAAAGTGAATTCTTTCCTCCCACCAGGAGGGTTCCAAGCCTCATTTTGCAGAACAAGAAGTACAAGCTGAGCTCTCTCATGGGATTAGAATGCCCCATCCCTCTAGCACTTGGATGAGTGCCATCATGCCACCAGTGCATTAAACAGCAAACAGGCTGTTTTCTTAACTGTCAACTTCTGTCCTTTCTGCCGCAGAAATTGGCTTGGTTGGCAACACCCCAGCTTCCAGGTCAGAGTGTGGTGGTTTTGGGTGGCATGGCGGGGGATTGTTCTTTCACCCTGATCCTACCCAACAGTGGGTATGTTTTTTGCACGGGAAGAAATTCCAGTGATGGGATGATTTGTTTTCGTAATGCGACCTCCTATTTTCTTTCTCAGTGAGCAGTGTGCTCGGCTGTTAATTGGAGAGAAAATGATCAGAAACCTGCTGCTGCTGGAGTTTGTTTAAAGCATGAGGGGAAGCTTGTGTCTGTGAGATAGCAGCTGGTGCTAAGCGGTGTAGTGGAAGCAGTCCTACTTGGGGACTGTACCTCAGTATAATTGGCGAATGAAGCCATAGTCATTTCTTTAGATCAAACGCCATACTTCTAACACACAAGCACGTTTCGGGTCTGACGTGTGGAATAGCAAGCCACCGTGTTTGGAGTCTTATTAATAGAAATAATTTGTCCTTGCATTTCCCCCCTTTCCTCTGAGGATCTGTAAAATGCTTTATAAATGCTAAAGCTCACCACATCCCTGGAAAGCAGCCGAGTATTATCCCCATATAGATGGGGGCCAACTAGAAACACACAAACAGAATGACTTGATCCAAGGTCACCTAGCAAGCCAGTAACATAGTCAGGAATAGGGCCCAGGAACTGTGTTTTTTGAACTACTAGACGGCACTGACTTAATAAAATGCTGTCCTGGTTATGCCTAGGTATTGCAGCAGATGTGGTATATGAAAAGGAAGTATATTGCCTTATTAGAGACAATGCAGAGGAAGAGGGTAGGGATGACATCAAATAACAGGGAAGACTCCAGAATGACCTGAAAGAAACTTTCACCATTTTGTCACTTCACCAAAAGTAGAGTATTTAGCCTTACAATTAGATAAATTGAGTGTGGTTCAGTGGCTGGGAATCAGGCAACATGGGTTATATTCTCAGTCCTGCCACTGACCTGCTGTGTGACTTTGGGCAAGTCACTTCTGTTTCCCCTCCTACCCTTTGTCTCTTTTGTCTGTAAGCTCTTCAAGGCAGGGACTTTCTCATTGTGCATATGTACAGTGCCTAACACAACAGGGCCTTGTTCTGGTTGGGGTTTAAAGCACTATGGTAATATTAATAATAAACAAACTTGGCCACAGCTGCTTTATGCAGAGTAATAAATGGGTAGAATAAGTTACCAGAGAAACAACTGAAGCAAGGAATATAAATTCAGCTTTAAAAACAAAACTAACAAAATAACCGCACAATTCATAAATACAAGCTAACAATCTCAATGAAAATACTGGGTTATATATTTCCTACAGTTCTCATGGACTATAGATCTTCAAAGTCTGTCTTAACCATTGGATATTTCAAGAATATAAAACAGTCACATACATTGATTTGTATTGTGGTAGCACTTAGGAACCGCATTTTGAACCAGGACTGCAACATATTACATGCTGTACAAACGCAAAACAAAAAGCTCCTGTTCCAAAGAGCTTACATTGTAACAACGGCTCTCCAGCCCCAGCCTGGTCAAAATGGAAGGGGCAGCGACTACTGAGACTTGGACATTTCCCCCAAAGAAATCTTAAGTAATAAATTCAGTGAACTTTTTAACTGCTTAGAAATCTTTCAATATTTAAAATGAAATTAGCATAACTACTCCTTGCTGAGGTTCAGCGAGCTGTGTAGTTTGAAGTTGTGCTATTTGGAACGTAAGAAGGCCTACTGGGTCAGACCTAAGGTCCATCCAGCCCAGTATACTGTCGGCCAACAGTGGCCAATGCCAGGTGCCCCAGAGGGAGTGAACCTAACAGGTAATGATCAAGTGATCTCTCTCCTGCCATCTATCTCCACCCTCTGACAAACAGAGGCTAGAGACACCATTCCTTACCCATCCTGGCTAATAGCCATTAATGGACTTAACCTCCATGAATTTATCTAGTTCTCTTTTAAACCCTGTTATAGTCCTAGCCTTCACAACCTTCTCAGACAATAAGTTCCACAGGTTGACTGTGTGTTGTGTGAAGAACTTCCTTTTATTTGTTTTAAACCTGCTGCCCATTAATTTCATTTGGTGGCCTCTAGTTCTTATATTATGGGAACAAGTAAATAACTTTTCCTTATTCACTTTCTCCACACCACTCGTGATTTTATAGACCTCTATCATATCCCCCCCCTTAGCCCTGGTCTACACTAGGACTTTAGGTCGAATTTAGCAGCGTTAAATCGATGTAAACCTGCACCCGTCCACACAATGAAGCCCTTTATTTCGACTTAAAGGGCTCTTAAAATTGATTTCCTTACTCCACCCCGACAAGTGGATTTGTGCTTAAATCGACGTTGCCGGCTCGAATTTGGGGTACTGTGGACACAATTTGATGGTATTGGCCTCCAGGAGCTATCCCAGAGTGCTCCATTATGACCGCTCTGGACAGCACTCTCAACTCAGATGCACTGGCCAGGTAGACAGGAAAAGAACCGTGAACTTTTGAATCTCATTTCCTGTTTGGCCAGCGTGGCAAGCTGCAGGTGACCATGCAGAGCTCATCAGCACAGGTGACCATGATGGAGTCCCAGAATCGCAAAAGAGCTCCAGCATGGACCGAATGGGAGGGATCTGATCGCTGTTTGGGGAGAGGAATCCGTGCTATCAGAACTCCGTTCCAGTTTTCGAAATGCCAAAACCTTTGTCAAAATCTCCCAGGGCATGAAGGACAGAGGCCATAACAGGGACCCGAAGCAGTGCCGCGTGAAACTGAAGGAGCTGAGGCAAGCCTACCAGAAAACCAGAGAGGCGAACGGCCGCTCCGGGTCAGAGCCCCAAACATGCCGCTTCTATGATGAGCTGCATGCCATTTTAGGGGGTTCAGCCACCACTACCCCAGCCATGTTGTTTGACTCCTTCAATGGAGATGGAGGCAATACGGAAGCAGGTTTTGGGGACGAAGAAGATGATGATGAGGAGGAGGAGGTTGTAGATAGCTCACAGCAAGCAAGCGGAGAAACCGGTTTTCCCGACAGCCAGGAACTGTTTCTCACCCTAGACCTGGAGCCAGTACCCCCCGAACCCACCCAAGGCTGCCTCCTGGACCCAGCAGGCGGAGAAGGGACCTCTGGTGAGTGTACCTTTTAAAATACTATACATGGTTTAAAAGCAAGCATGTGAAAGGATTATTTTGCCCTGGCATTTGCGGTTCTCCTAGATGTAGTCTTAAAGCCTTTGCAAAAGGTTTCTGGGGAGGGCAGCCTTATTGCGTCCTTCATGGTAGGACACTTTACCACTCCAGGCCAGTAACACGTACTCGGGAATCATTGTAGAACAAAGCATTGCAGTGTATGTTTGCTGGCATTCAAACAACATCCGTTCTTTATCTCTCTGTGTTATCCTCAGGAGAGTGAGATATAATTCATGGTCACCTGGTTGAAATAGGGTGCTTTTCTTCAGGGGACACTCAGAGGAGCCCGTTCCTGCTGGGCTGTTTGCCTGTGGCTAAACTGAAATGTTCCCCGCTGTTAGCCACGGGGAGGGGGGAGGGTTGAGGGGGGAACCACGTGGTGGGGGGAGGCAAAATGCGACCTTGTAACGAAAGCACATGTGCTATGTATGTAATGTTAACAGCAAGGTTTACCCTGAAAGAGTGTAGCCACTGTTTTATAAAATGTGTCTTTTTAAATACCGCTGTCCCTTTTTTTTTCTCCACCAGCTGCATGTGTTTCAATGATCACAGGATCTTCTCCTTCCCAGAGGCTAGTGAAGCTTAGAAAGAAAAAAAAACGCACTCGCGATGAAATGTTCTCCGAGCTCATGCTGTCCTCCCACACTGACAGAGCACAGACGAAAGCGTGGAGGCAAATAATGTCAGAGTGCAGGAAAGCACAAAATGACCGGGAGGAGAGGTGGCGGGCTGAAGAGAGTAAGTGGCGGGCTGAAGACAGGGCTGAAGCTCAAATGTGGCGGCAGCGTGATGAGAGGAGGCAGGATTCAATGCTGAGGCTGCTGCAGGACCAAACCAGTATGCTCCAGTGTATGGTTGATCTGCAGCAAAGGCAGCTGGAGCACAGACTGCCACTGCAGCCCCTCTGTAACCAACCGCCCTCCTCCCCAAGTTCCATAGCCTCCACACCCAGACGCCCAAGAACGCGGTGGGGGGGCCTCCGGCCAACCAGCCATTCCACCACAGAGGATTGCCCAAAAAAAAGAAGGCTGTCATTCAATAAATTTTAAAGTTGTAAACTTTTAAAGTGCTGTGCTTAAAGTGCTGTGTGGCATTTTCCTTCCCTCCTCCACCACCCCTCCTGGGCTACCTTGGTAGTCATCCCTCTATTTGTGTGATGAATGAATAAAGAATGCATGAATGTGAAGCAACAATGACTTTATTGCCTCTGCAAGCGGTGATTGAAGGGAGGAGGGGCGGGTGGTTAGCTTACAGGGAAGTAGAGTGAACCAAGGGGCGGGGGGTTTCATCAAGGAGAAACAAACAGAACTTTCACACCGTAGCCTGGCCAGTCATAAAACTGTTTTTCAAAGCTTCTCTGATGCGTACCGCGCCCTCCTGTGCTCTTCTAACCGCCCTGGTGTCTGGCTGCGCGTAACCAGCAGCCAGGCGATTTGCCTCAACCTCGCACCCCGCCATAAACGTCTCCCCCTTACTCTCACAGATATTGTGGAGCACACAGCAAGCAGTAATAACAGTGGGAATATTGGTTTCGCTGAGGTCTAAGCGAGTCAGTAAACTGCGCCAGCGTGCCTTTAAATGTCCAAGTGCACATTCTACCACCATTCTGCACTTGCTCAGCCTGTAGTTGAACAGCTCCTGACTACTGTCCAGGCTGCCTGTGTACGGCTTCATGAGCCATGGCATTAAGGGGTAGGCTGGGTCCCCAAGGATAACTATAGGCATTTCAACATCCCCAACGGTTATTTTCTGGTCTGGGAATAAAGGCCCTTCCTGCAGCTTTTGAAACAGACCAGAGTTCCTGAAGATGCGAGCGTCATGTACCTTTCCCGGCCATCCCACGTTGATGTTGGTGAAACGTCCCTTGTGATCCACCAGAGCTTGCAGCACTATTGAAAAGTACCCCTTGCGGTTTATGTACTCGGCGGCTTGGTGCTCCGGTGCCAAGATAGGGATATGGGTTCCGTCTATAGCCCCACCACAGTTAGGGAATCCCATTGCAGCAAAGCCATCCACTATGACCTGCACATTTCCCAGGGTCACTACCCTTGATATCAGCAGATCTTTGATTGCGTGGGCTACTTGCATCACAGCAGCCCCCACAGTAGATTTGCCCACTCCAAATTGATTCCCAACTGACCGGTAGCTGTCTGGCGTTGCAAGCTTCCACAGGGCTATCGCCACTCGCTTCTCAACTGTGAGGGCTGCTCTCATCTTGGTATTCATGCGCCTCAGGGCAGGGGAAAGCAAGTCACAAAGTTCCATGAAAGTGCCCTTACGCATGCGAAAGTTTCGCAGCCACTGGGAATCGTCCCAGACCTGCAACACTATGCGGTCCCACCAGTCTGTGCTTGTTTCCCGAGCCCAGAATCGGCGTTCCACAGCATGAACCTGCCCCATTAGCACCATGATGCATGCATTGGCAGGGCCCATGCTTTCAGAGAAATCTGTGTCCATGTCCTGATCACTCACGTGACCGCGCTGACGTCGCCTACTCGCCCGGTATCGCTTTGCCAGGTTCTGGTGCTGCATATACTGCTGGATAATGCGTGTGGTGTTTAATGTGCTCCTAATTGCCAAAGTGAGCTGAGCGGCCTCCATGCTTGCCTTGGTATGGCGTCCGCACAGAAAAAAGGCGCGGAACGATTGTCTGCCGTTGCTCTGACGCCGGGAGGGGCGACTGAGGACACGGCTTACAGGGTTGGCTTCAGGGAGCTAAAATCAACAAAGGGGGTGTCTTTACATCAAGGAGTATTTCAGGCAGGACTTCACGGAGGGTTTCAATAAGAAATGGTGCACCTAAGTTATCGTTCTTATTGGAACAAGAAGGTTAGCCTGGCCTCTGATTGATACATGGCTAGATTTACCTCGCTGCACCTTCTCTGTGAGTGACTGCAGTGTGACCTAGAAGAATGAGTCTCCTAGACAGGGGAGGGGGGGAAGCAAATGAGTACAAAACAAATCTGGTCTATTTCTTGTTTTGATCCACTCCATCTATCTTTTACATCTTTGGCTGGCAGCAGACGGTGCAGAAGGACTGCATGCCATCCACATCTCATGGCTGCTCGGCAGAAGATGGTACAGTACGACTGCTAGCAGTCCGTATCGCCTGCCCACTCACCATAAGACAGTTCAATAGGACTGACTGCAGGACTAAAGAGAATGACCTGGTCAAGTCACTCCAAATTTAGTCCCTGCGCCCATGTCTGCCCAGGCGCTCCCAGCCGACGTGGCCAGGAGCACCTCGGACATGACGATGACGGCTACCAGTCGTACTGTACCGTCTGCTGCCACAAGGCAAGGGGTTGCTGCTACTGTGTAGCAATGCCGTACCGCGTCTGCCAGCACCCAGGAGACATAGGGTGACGGTTACCTGAGCGGGCTCCATGCTTGCCGTGGTATGGCGTCTGCACAGGTAACTCAGGAAAAAAGGCGCGAAACGATTGTCTGCCCTTGCTTTCATGGAGGGAGGGAGGGAGGGAACGGGGGCCTGACAATATGTACCCAGAACCACCCGCAACAATGTTTTAGCCCCATCAGGCATTGGGATCTCAACCCAGAATTCCAATGGGCAGCGGAGACTGCGGGAACTGTGGGATAGCTACCCACAGTGCAACGCTCCGGAAGTCGACTCTAGCCTCGGTACTGTGGAAGCGCTCCGCCGAGTTAATGCACTTAATGCACTTAGAGCATTTTCTGTGGGGACACACACACTCAAATATATAAAACCGATTTCTAAAAAACCGACTTCTATAAATTCGACCTTATTCCGTAGTGTAGACATACCCTAAGTCTCCTCTTTTCCAAGCTGAAAAGTCCTAGCCTCTTTAATCTCTCTTCATATGGGACCCGTTCCAAACCCCTAATCATTTTAGTTGCTCTTCTCTGAATCTTTTCTAATGCCAGTATAACTTTTCTGAGATGAGGAGACGACATCTGTATGCAGCATTCAAGATGTGGGCGTACCATGGATTTATATAATAATTATATATACTTTCGGGCTTTTTTTTTTCTGCAGCCATCAGGGCTAGAAACTTTTTGGTTTTTTAATTGAAAGTTGAGATTCTTAGACAATAAAATGACTCCAGTAGCCAGAGTTGTGCCAAAAAAAAACCCAAATACTGCAAGACTGATGATAAAATTACAACAACTGGCAACACATCAACTTTAGGATTATAAAAAGAAGTTGTATCCCATTAACTATGACGCTTGTGGCAAAAAAGCTTTACTTACAAATTAATACTAATAATTCCTTCTCATTCAAAATCTTGGCATCTGGCTGGAATATTTGTAGAACATTTATTGAAGAGTCTTGAGGACATTATGGGCTATAATAGGAGCCTTGGTGTTTCAAGGGATTCCATATTTTCGTTAAGCTTCAGAGTCTGCCATCCTTACGTTGAAATGGGCCTTTCTTTGCGACTAGTCCCATTGTAATCAATTTGACCAGCATTTCTCAACCTTTTTGGTACTAGGGACCGGCTTGCTGCCTTCCTAAACTGTGTTGGGGACATCTCTGGGACCGGTGTTGGTCCACAGACCAGTTGTTGGGAAACACTGAATTAGACCACTCAGAGTAAGGAACTACGGTAAATATGACTTAGGGTTGCATAATCAGTCCCTTAATGTCAAGTAAATATCCCATTTAACATATCCAAAACTAGCAGTGGCAGAGCTGAGTGTGGTGACTTGAGAGGAAAGACCAAAAAAATTAAAAATGTGTCATTGATCAGATGATGGCAAGGGAAAGCTACGTCTACAAGTATGTAAAGGGTCTAAATGCCCCCCAATAAAGGAGATGGATTTAGGGTTTGGTTTAGGCAGGTACCCTGGGATGTAATTAGGAGTAATGAGATGAGAAACTAAACAAAGGAACGTTTAGGCTGAATGTAGGGATGGGGAAGACGTACTAACTATTCAAGTGTAAAATAGTCTCGTAAGGGAAATGGTGGAAGCCCCATCATCTGAACCACTGAAAATGGACAGGATAGAACCAGAGAATTTACAGTGCACAGAAGAAGCCCTCAGTGGCAGGGGGAATAGAGAAGAAGCCCTCAGTGGCAGGGGGAATAGAGAAAATGACAACACTATAGGTGGTCTCCATCTCCAATTCCTGTGATTCTGTAGACCCTTTTCATCAGCGAAAAGTATCATGTCGCTGTTCTGTAATAACTACATTTGATTTGTTTCTCAGTAGCTTCTGATTTTCCTGATTCTTCTTGTCCTTGGAGCAGTGGCCAGCTGGCTTCTTTCTCCCCTGGAGTTCTGACCGTGTTGACTGTTGAAAAAATGAGTTATGTTAATAGCAGGGCAAGGGTGGTTGACTTTGGCATGGGGCAATTCATTGTGGGAGGCTGAGTTTCTGAACAAGCTAAAGCAAAGGTTGAGATGCATCTTTGAGACTCATTAAAACAATTAGAAGGATTTGGTGGGGAAGGAAGAGACTCCATTAGCCAACTGGGAATTCCATACTGGAGATGGAGGAAATCACTGCCATGTACTGTGTGGTTCTACATCTCAGCCAATAGCAGATGCAATCGAGAGCTGTTCTTTCTCCTGAGACATAGATATCAGCTTCCACTCCCATTGAGTTACTCTGCATGGTGGGAGTCTGTTTATAAACAGAGATGGATGATTAACTGCAAAAATGTTTCATAAATATTGCTATGAATTTTTTTAATGAACTCCCCCTGTCATGGATGCATGACTTTTGGTTTTGCTTTCCACAGTTGTTCCTGGAACTGACTCTTTATTGTTCGCATTTGCAGTAATAATAGTGTCTTTCAAGTGTATGTACTCATGGGAAAATAACTTACACTTGCTTTTTGTATGCATTTGCAGCAGATATTCCATCATGAGTGCTAGACTCATCTCATCTGGGAACAAGAACAATATTGTGTGGCCAATCTCCACTTCATAGCGCAGCTTGAAGAGTAAGCCACAGAGCAAACCAAATTAATTACAAAATAGAGCTCAATAAATTCAAGGAAATCTCCATGTATTCTCAGACATTTCCTTGAACATAAGGTGAATAAATTGTTACAAAGGGTCTCATTCGGATCTAGTTGGAACAAAGAGGGGTGAGCCACATAGTTGATAGAATGTGTATCTAGCTTGTGTGTTTTACCTTCTTTTGTTTGCCGTTTAGT